TATATTTATAATTTAATATATATATATATATATTTTATTCTTTTTTTTATAATTTCAATCTATCTCTCTCTTTATTCAGCTGCTTCAACATTAATAATAATAATAATATAGGCTAAATTTCGGGCCCGGGCCCAGGCTCGGGCTCGGGCTCGGGCCTTAAAAAAAATTGTTAATACACAGTAAAAGCCCGGCCCGAGCCCGGCCTGGCCTGGCCCATGAACAGGTCTACTCCTTACTGGTGGGTTCACGCGTCCGGTGCATGGTGCAAAGAACGCAGACTCTAAAACCCGGGTCTCCCGAAGAAGGCAAAATCCGTGCGAACACTCTGAGTGCACGGCCACGGCGGCATCTGCAGCCGCCCATTGAGAATACCGAATACGCACACAAGAAAATAAAATGAGAAATTATAGAAATTAAATTCGAAAAAATAGATACAGGCTCGATGTATATTTCTGAATTCTACTACAAACTTATAAACATTTAAAATATAGAAAACCCTCACTTTATACACCGACGCCCGCTCATAATCGAATTCTGATCCTGAACTGAACCGTCATTCTCGAAGAGAATTCGCTACCTCTCGAAACTCGAAACGTTTATGTCATTATCCACTCTGTCTTTCACTCCACACTTCCCCCGATTTTATCTCATTTTAACTAACAGTAGAAAAGAATCCGCATTGACAGCTGTCTTGCCTATTAAAATCAAAACTCAGAAGCATTTGGAGTTCTTCCATTTCCATCTGAGGTTGAGAAAAAGCAGAAGGGAAGGTGAAGGGCCCATGGAAACATCATCCTCCTCGATCTCGACCTCTTCTGAATCCGATGATTTCTTCTGCTTATTAGCACAACTCTCAAATGAAAATGGTAACAACGAAGTCGTCGACGATGACCATAACCATGACAATGAGATGAACCCCATAGCAGCAGCAGCAATATCTGATGAGAAATACGCAGAGGAGTTGCAGCTGCAAGAGGTACTTGTATCGTCCGTCGTTTCATCGCATTACTCATTTGCTGGAAATGTCGAATCATCATCATGCACAATAGTTGAGGAAAAACAATGTACCAACGAAAACGAAAATCCAAAACAAATTGAAGGTGAGTCTTCGGCAAGCTTCTGCGAGATTTGCATGGAAACCAAATCGCATCAAGAGATGTTCAGTGGCATTAACAAGTGCTCACACTCCTTTTGTTCTGACTGCATAAGCAAACATGTGGCTGCCAAGGTCGAAGAGAACGTCACCAAGGTTATCTGCCCCGCCTTCAACTGTAAGGAGGTTTTGGAACCTGAGAGTTGCCGATCGATTATCCCCAACCAAGTGTTTGTTCGGTGGGCAGATGCTCTTTGTGAGTCTCTGATTCCTGGACCCCAGAAATTTTACTGTCCTTTCAGCAACTGTTCCGCTTTGCTGATGGACGATGGAGGGGAGATCATTAAGGAATCCGAGTGTCCAAGTTGCCGGAGACTTTTCTGCGCCCAGTGTAAGGTGCCATGGCATGGCAACATCAGTTGCGAGGAGTTTCAGAAACTAAACGAGGATGAGAGAGGGAGGGAAGATCTCAAGGTGATGGCCCTTGCTAAAGAGAAGGCATGGCAGAGGTGTCCAATGTGCAAATTCTACGTCGAGAAGTCGGATGGTTGCTTGTATATGAAATGCAGGTATTTTTTCTCTCTTTCTCAACTTTTACTTAGATATACATAATTTTTGTTTTTCATGACTCCACCTGTAATATAATCCTCCTTTATTTAACTGAGGAAACCGGAAAATTTTAGCAAGAGAGGAGAGTGCCGAAAGAGGGAAAAATGGAGAGAGAGAGAGTACAGATTTTCTTCTTCTTATCCCGTCCTTTCTTATTCCCACCCTTTTCCACACCAAATTTCAAAGTAACAAACAAACAGAACTTATTGCATTACTTACCATTGAGTCTATCTAATGTAACAGAACATATATCGTCCTATGTTTCTTTTTCTTAATTAAACAAAAAAAGGGAAGGAACAATTGAACTTTATAGAAGTGATTACCAATTAAACTATTTACCTATTTTTTTCTCATGTCAATTAAACTATTTACATAATTTTATAGAAGTGATTACCAATTTAAATTTAATGATGGACACAGGTGTGGATTTGCTTTCTGTTACAAGTGCGGAACACCATCAAAAGATCATACCTACCATTACTGTGCTACATGTAACCGTACTTTCTAGAAATTGAAATTGTATGGAAGTCCTATTCCTCTCTTTTTTGAATATATGTATTTACGCACTGGTAAACCGTCTGTCTTTTTTTTTTTTTGGTAACTGAAGGGTTGATAATCCAACTATTGAAAGCTCTTATCTTAGTCTAAACATTGTGTTTTATTTTGGTTGTGATTACTTGAGTGAACCTGCCATTTTATTTGGTCTTTTTTTTTCTTAATTTTCATAATTAATTAGGTTTGTTGACGTTATGGTCCATAGATTGTTGTATGGAACCCGCTAACAAGCAAGACTGGACTGTGGACTCGCATTTCCCCAGCCCCGGCCAGAATGGAAGATTGATACCAGGCCAGGAATTACTACTACTAGTTCTTAAATGCCAGCATAGCCACCGATCAATAGCTTTAGCCTACCAGTAAAATATTTTATGGCATGTGCAGTGGGACTAATGGAGATATGATCTCCAAAGACAAATTGCCAAGTCATTCGAGTGAACATCATCATGGCCATGGGGATTCCTATGAGTTTTAATTTTGAAATTCAAAGGAACTGAGTCCCAACTCCCAACTCTCAAAAGAGAAACATATGGCAAATCCATTTCAAGTTTGAACATCACATGCGTGCCAGATCAATACTTCTTTTATTAGTTTTCCTGTCAAGATTTTAGTTTTCAATTCACTCTTTCGAACCACCTTTAGGGGCTATTATTTGTGGTACATTTCGGCTTTGAATTCTGCTTCAGTATTGCGGATTGACATGGGCTGAGACTCGCCAGGCAGCCCGAGTTAGAGTGACTAAACAAGGGCAAAAGGAAATATGAGCAATCAACAGTATAGCAGCTATTCCCAATTCAGTAATTTCATGCGACTCCAGTCACTCCAGTCTCCACCCACCCTTTTAAGTTGCCGTGGTTATGAATTCTATTATCGACCTCATTGAATTACATTTCTCGACTTTATAATTAAGGGTCCATTTGGTTTGCAGGAATAGGGAACAGAAGGAATGGCATTCCCCCATTTGAGGGAACGGCCATTACCTGCCCCTCCTTGGGAATGAAATCCCACTCTTGCTGATTTTAATTCCCATTCTCATTTCTGTCTGAACCAAACAGACTATGGGAATGGACCATTTCGATTCCAATTCCAAAGGATTTTGATTCCAATTCCAACTACAAACCAAACGGACCCTAAATTTTAAAGATGGTTGTTTAACTTGTATTCATCCCTTTGAAGACGCTGGATAGCATGGACCAACGTTGGGTAATGGCCTTTTAAAGGAGGTTGTCTGGTTGTGTTCTCTCTTTGAAAGGCATTGAGAAATAGAATAATTACAACCAAAGGGGATGTTCTACAACGTGGATGAGAAATTTGTGGGTGTGGACTGATGCATATCATCCTGTCGTAGGGACCAATTCACACCACATTATAGTCTACAGCTGTTATGAAATGTGGGCAAATTGTATGAAATTTTTACATGACACTTTTTGATTCCATGTATCTCATTTATATTTTATGAATAATCTATACAGTTAATCATGAATATCTAATTTTTATATTTTATATAATCAAATATTGAAAAAAGACATCAATAAATTAATATTAACCAATAAATATTAATTTTAATAAAAATGATAGTAAAATAACTAAAAAATAAAAAATATATTTTAAATATTTAAAAATATTATTCTAATAAAAACAATAGTACAGACTGGGTTTACCATGGTCAATCAAATATACATTGGATTGGAATATTTTGAATCATTGTGAAGCAGGGTATCAAAATTTAACCGTGGATAGACCCCTCCACGAGAAAACGTTGTGGCCGATAATATGGGGTGCGGACAACCAGCCGAACACCCTGTTCATCCTGTGGCATGGACCAAAACGGTCCATCCACAAGTTGAACACGGAACCGAACACCACCTAAAGTGACTTGATTCTAAGCATTATCTCATCCACCAAAAATGCAAACTAACGAAGAGCAACTCATTGGAAGAACCATTAAAATGTTTTTGGCTGTTGCTGTGCAAGACACAAATGAAGACAATATAGTTATTCTAAAACTGATACAACATGGAGTAAATGAACGGAAATAAAGATATGATTTCAGTACAAAATATGCATCATACAATTGTAGGATGATAATTATCCTGAAAATTAAGCCTTTACATCTAGACATACATATACTCACCGCCACGTATGGCATTTGCAGCTCCTTTCCTTTCTTCTTCAGCCTCCTTTTCCCTCTCTTTCCGCCTCTCGTACTCATAATCATCAGTTTGTAGCTCATACCGACAAACAGGACAGGAGTTATTTTCATCCTGCCAATAGGTAGAACAACATGAGCTTTTTGATATTTCAAATACCATTCATTTCAGATGTCATAAGCATGTATATGCACACAAAAAATAAAAAGATAATGAACCCCGAGTTATAAAGAGTTGGAAAAGTAAAATATCTCTTTTTTTTCCTTTAGTGTCCTAATTATAAGTGAATGCAAAAGCAGCTTACCAGCCATGGCTTTAGACAAGGTGGGTGAAACATGTTTTTGCAAGGCAATTCCTGCAACTTGTCATTCGGAACAAATTTTTCCAGGCAAATGGCGCAGCATGTCTCACTTCCAAATTTTGCCAGAACTTCTTCTGTAACAGTAATGATTGGAAGTTTTGCAACCACCTCCTTACCAGCAGGGGGCCGTCTCTGATGCACAAATTCCTATTTGTTCAAGAGGGATCAATATGAGAATGTCCTTAACACCAATATGCTACTTACTAAAGTTTGCCATTTATTAAAGACAAAGAGAATGAAACCAAAGATAGGTGGCAAGTGAAAAAAAAAAAAAGAATAAAAAGCTTCACTGTAAAGGTAACTAACTTCAACTGATACTAACAGCCACACAATTTAAGTACGCAAGTAATATGAATACTCAGAATGTTCCAGCACAAATTTGGTTGTTACACAAAATTTTCTTGTTATCTAATGTTAAAAAGTCAAAAAAAGGAGCTAAGCATGTGATTTTTCAAGGTCCCAAATTGTATGGAAGAATGGATTAGTTGTATAAAATACCTGCAATGAATTCTGAATGACAGCCTCTAGTTCTAGTGGGTCAATCATATTTATCAGCTGCTCTGTAATTTCTGGTGTGTTAATATTCTCTGTCTGGCCTTGAGAAGATTCAGCTGCAGAAATGGTAGCCAGTAAATCCTGTGCCACAAGCCATGCAGGACGTGAGGGCTCAGGATCTACAGTCAGATGCCCTTCGAAGAGATATCTTGAATCTTTAGAAAGATACAGAAACAAAAGTAACCATTATTAGAATAAATTCGGAGAACATGAAAGGAAAGTTCACAGGAATCAAACGAGTGGGTTGAGAAAACGACTGCATTCCAAATTTCCAATAAAATGAATACCTCTAGGTCTGTTGTGTTCAGAGTCGGACTCCGGCCTATTCTCAAGCTCATGCAAATGTTCACGTGCTCTTGCAATGCAGGTTTTCAAGTGTTGCCTTTCAGAAGATTCAAGAACAAGGCGCTCAGCCTCCTGAAAAAGTCCCAGGCCAGCAAGCCAGAATCCGGGTATTGTGTATCTTGTTTGCAAAATAGTTGCAACCCTACAAACAGTAGAATAAATCTGCAAAACCCACATTCATGCTCATGATAAGAGGCCTGTCTAAACTAATTGTTTTTCTTTCCCTGAACCAGAAAGGGGGGGAAAGTTGAGGATGAGAATTCTGTAATAAACAAGGCTCTAATAGTATCTTTTTTATCCAACAGATTAAATTATTTAATAGAAAGAAGAATACAAATTCAAGGGATTTATGTCCCCATAGAATCAGCAATGAAAAGATAACTGAGATCAGACGAGAGAACATCAAAAACAGTTTGGCCAAATCCGGATAGGAATCCCATATTATTTAGCACATTGTTGCCCTCCAAAGGTGTTTTGAATATGCACCACCAACCTTTGCTGAGTAATGATTGAATATAGCAGAGTACGTTGGCCTATCTAAAAATGAGTGCTCGACCATTTTGAATAGCAAGGATAACAGACAAAAATTCCATCAGTAAACCTCCAAATCAGCGCAAGATCATCACAAATGGGTCAAAGTTCGGGAGGATGTCAGTAACAGAAACAATTTGAATCCAGCTCCAAAAGGCTTGGACGATTAGCTCAAGTCACGGATAATAGTTATAAAACAGCATCCTTTTTTTTTTTTTGTTAAGAAAGGGAAAAATAAATTTTCAGCAAAGGCATTAAAATTGATTAGAGAACTGGATAATTTATTATGTATATGTGTGACTGATTGTGTTCTCCGGTAACAAATGTCCCATTCTTCTCCAATTTTCAGAAAAAATTTCCCAGAAAGGAACGGTTAAAAATCAAAACAAAAATAATTGATTCAGATAGTTGGAGGTGTGAAAGGAATGCGATTATGAAACGATAAACAAGACCGTACGCAAAAGAGAAAGAATTAAAGAAAGAAAAGGGAGTGCATACAAGCGAAGGAACGAACCGGTTTGCGGAGGGTGGGAGAAGCAGAGGGATATGTCTCGATAAGCAAAGATTTAATGGATGAGACGGCCTCTTCAAACTTCTGTTTCTTTCCCAGTTGTTTCTGCAAATCCTGTAATCTCTCCTTCAACGAATCCTCAGAAGATGCCATCTTTATCGAATTTTTGCAATCCTGTTGTAGTACTTACCAATCCAACTGTGTTGTGCTTCCTCTTCCTCTACGCCTTTCTTCATCTATTTGCTATTTATTATGTGTTGTGTTTCTTGCGCAACAGGAAACTTTCGAATACCTGACAAACCTCTAGCCTCTAGCATCGGGCCGGGGCGGTCGACCCACAAACCCACGGAGATCCGGAGAAGAGTAATGCCATTGTTTCAGTTGAAATTCGAAACTAATGCCGATTTTTTTTGGGTAAATTATAAAGACCCCTGTACTTTATTTTGCGACAAAGACCCCTGTACTATGACCGTGAGATAAAGACCCCCTTGACCGTTAAGTTAAATGACAGAATGCGTTAAATTACCAAAATATCCCATTAAACTTTTTCTATCTTCTTTTTTTTGCCCTTTTTTCTCTTAAAAGCTATTTATTCTATGTTTCCCTTTCTTCTCTTCTTTTCCCCTCCTTCACCGTCCTCTCTCATTCTTTCTCTCCCAACTCTCCGAAATAAAAGGACGGAGGAAACCCATTTTTTGTCTTTCCTTTCTTCTCTTCTCTGTCTTCAATCTTGTCTCTATAGTCGTCGCCGACGATGCCGCGATCATGTGAAACTGCAATGCTTGAGAGGATAAGGATGAAGATGATATCACATTGTTGGTTGGAATAAGACGGAAGAATTTGAGAGGGAATAAAAGGGAAAAGTGCAAGTATTGACCACATGCTTTTTGCATAAAGGAAAGGAGGAAGATGACCAGAGTGAGCGTTGCCAGTACTCCAACTTGAGGCTCTGTATCACCATATTTGCTAAAGTCTCCTCATTTCCCATGCCCTTGAAGGGTGATTTACCAAATAAGAGCTCGTAAAGAAAGATCCCAAATGTCCACCTATCCATAGCACTCCCATGACCCTCTCCTTTGATGATCTCAAGAGCTAAGTACTCATGGGTCCCAACAAAGGAGTTGGACCGGGCAATGGTTGGTTCTGCCACAAGTTGTGGTATAGAACTCACATGCATTGCCAAGTCGGATTTTAGTTTTCAGGTCTTCGCTGTAGAAGATATAAGCCTTAGTGAAAAGCATGAAACCTGCGCCCAGGATGGTTGGAGACAGAAAGGATCTATACAAGGGGATTCTGCACATGGACTTGAAAAGTTTTTTGTGGGCAACATCCATTCTTTGAGGGCCTGAACTGTGCATTAATACGGTGTGCCATCCCACCGGAGCTACCAAAGTTTTGTGATCTCGAAGTTCCATTTATGCCTTCCCATGAGAGTAAATGTTTGGAGTTCAAGTCTAAAAGAGGGCATATGGAGTTCGAATTGTTCTAGCATGTGATCTCTCTTCTATGGGGAGCTATTTGATTTGTAGGGTCCCCATTAAAATGCTCCTTATTGTAATTGATAAATGATAATGTAGCTCATACCTCAGTGTAAATGTAGTCTCACATAATTGGTAGGAAGCATTGCGTGCTTCCTGAGTGCTTCTTGCAGAAACACAATGAATAGATTTTGCCAGCCTCCACTTTCCAACTTCTAAATGCACTGACAGTTACTTAGGGAATTGAGTTTTGGCTTGGACTGGTTAATACTCAATGGGTATTTTTTGGGGCCTACAATCCTTGCATTAATGTGTAATTCATGTTCTCTCCTATGCACAAGCGCTCCACTATGCCGTTCACGGTCTTCGTGATTGTTCGGACTCACGCTTCCTCATCGAGGGAAAGAGAGGGAGGACTTCCAAAATCTGTTGCCGCTACTGTTCATGAGGTCAGGGAAGATGAACAATGTTACAAGGGTAGTATGGGGATTTAAAAATATTGCAACAACGAATTGTAATAAAAGTCTAATGGAAGGGGGTCTTTGTCTCATGGTCATAGTACGAGGAGGTCTTTGTCGCAAAACAAATTACAGGGGGGCCTTTGTCACAGACTCATAGTACAGAAGGGTCTTTATAATCTACCCTTTTTTTTATAAATCATGGAAGAATTAAACAAGTTCAAGTTTGCGCCCCACGGCCGGACCCCCACACAATCGGAAGGTGCCAAGTATCCTTCCACACGATTTCCCCCTCAGCGCGTGTAGAGCTAACAGGACGGACGTTAACTCATCCCGTTAGCTCCAAATTCCCGCTACTCTCAACTCTTGACCTGGCCTCGTCTCTTGACCCTTGCACTCCTCCATCCGAACTAATGGCAAGAAGTTCGGCAAAGACGACCATCCGACAAATACACCGGAGGTACTGTCCGTCCCTCTCATCCCATCCCTCTCTAACATCCTTTACATGTTTTGCTGAGTTATTTTTTATTTTATTTTTTCTCAATACAAAACACAGAAGGGAAGGGAGATCACCAGCGACCACCCGACCATTATACAGGTTCAATTTTTCCCTATTCATTTTCATCTATTTTTTTATTGCATAAAACTTGGATTTTCTAATAAAAATAAAAAAAAAGTGAATTCTATGTAAAAGCACCCACATTCAAAATTAAGAATATATATATATATATTCAATGAACGCCTCAAACTTTGTTCTTTTTCTACCGTTAAAATAAGATGAATCCTATTTTGTGAAAGAAGAAGAAGAACAACAACAACACCCATATTCAAGTGACACGCCAAAATATTGATTTCTAGTGATCCAATACTCTGACTCGCATAGATCAATTGACGCTCACCTACATTGGCGATGGAACTAGAGCCTGGCGAGAGAACTCTCACTAGGGAACACCAGATCATTCTCCTCCAAAGCAAGCGCTTCCCCGAGGATTACAGCATGTGAATGCGAGATCTTCCCGAAGCTAGATAGTAGAACCGCCAAGGGTTCAACATACCAGAGATAGTTCGACGTTTTTAGCTTCTTGGCCCCATCCGGTGTGGCCATCGAAAACAAAAAGTTCCATCCTGGAGCAGAAGAAGAAAAGGAGCGATTGATGAATAGAAGGTTGGAGGACAAAAGTGGAGACTACTAGCAAACTGGGAATACCTCCGGTGTGTTTGTCGGAACGGTCTTCATCGCCGGAGTTCTTGCCGTTAGCTTGGATGTAGGAGTGCAGGGGTGGGTCAAAGTTAGATAGAGGAGGCCAGGTCGAGAGTCGAGGGTAGCGGGAATTTGGAGCTAACAGCCGTCCCATTAGCTCCACGCACGCTGAGGGAGAAAATCATGCGAGAGGACACTTGGCGCCTTCCGATTGTGTGGGGCATTTGTAGGGTGCAGATTTGAACTCGAATTAAACAAGACGGATGGAAGGAACACCCCATAAATCAAAACAACAAAAAAGACCTAGAGTTTTAGGGAGAAAAGAACCAGAGAACATTGGGGAGCACGAAACTAGCCAGCCAGTCAGCAACCTTATTCCCTTCTCGAAATGTATGACAATACTCCTCCACATTATAATAGTTTTCAATCTTCATGGCGGATCAACACCGTTGTTTAGGCTGTCAATTACAAGTTAGAGTCATCTTCAATTATAATATTTTTATTCTAGAAGTTGAGCGCTAAATTATTAGATCAGATCTGCTTCTCACACAGGACGTCTCACACCCATCTCACAGGCACATCTCATCATGCATTAGTAACATTTTTCATACTTATATGTTATTATTCATGGTGAGATGTGCCTGTGAGGTCGATGTGAGGTGCCCTGTGTGAGGAACAGATCCCAATTCCTAAATTATGGGCTTCCCACAAAGCCCAAGCATCAACAACATTAATAGAATGTCGAATTAGAAGTATAATGAGTCCTAGCCAAGCCCAACGAAAAAAAAAACTGTGAAAATACCAGAAAAATAGAAAGAAATGAAGGAATGAAGGTTTAAATGGATAAATTGCTAGAATTAATTCCATACCATTAGATTGTTCCCACCATCCACAACAAAAAATCAGATGCATCACTTTTTCAAGTTGATCAGAAGATATCACTGCACCTAGGTATTTCATATTTATCTAATTTTCTTCATGTCGATGACTCCAAAATTTTTTTAGGTCACTATTCTAACTGTCAGTTTCTCTATTTGAATATTAGCTGAAGTATGATAGTTCATGATTTTAAAGTAATGATTAAAGTGAGCTTATTAATAGGACTAGTGAGAATAATTACTGACTGAGATTGATCAGATTAGATCTTAAATTCATAATATGAGAAAAATCATGTGAAACACAACAACGGAGTTAAGCTTCACCTCTGTTCAAATCAAATGTCATGGTCTAAACTAAAAACCTGTTCAATTTCTGTGTTTTCCTTTTCTTCATGATTTAGTAACCAGAAAAAAAAAAAAAACAGTTCCCTTTGACCTTTGTAGTAGGCTAGTAGCCCATTACCCCCATTTAAACGGTGGTGCCAACGGTGGATTTTAAAGGTTTGAGAACTGAGATCCTCTGTTTAGAGATCAAAATTCAACTACAAGACCAGTATGGATCTTTAAGGCCCTCTTGTCCCTTTCCTTGTCCCTTACGTTGCCTAGGGCCAAAAGGCATTTATAATGAAAAATCTAGAGAGTCCATATAAATTACAAGAGGAATGGAGATCAGTTTCCACAGAAAAAGGCCAGCATAAAGCTTAATATAGTGTTGGATATCAATTTCTACAATGAAAAAGACTTCTTCTAGGATGAAAAAATAATCCATCTTCAGAATTTTGTTTTGTTCTTATTTGTGTTTTAGATAGGTCATGTATCTTAACGTGAAGATTAGTGAGACAGTTATCTTGTCATCACACATCATTTCTATTTGCATTTTAGATAGGTCATGTATCTTCACGTTGGTTTCTGATTGTTCAAAATTTTGCTCTACAATAGGATGGAATCACGTCCTACCTATGTAGACCCTGCCATACCAATCCTCCATGAGGAAAATTTTCTACCCACTAAATTCCGGGTGTCAATGGATATAAAGGATGCAATCATGTCTGCGTTTAAAATGACTCCACTCCAAGAGTATTACCAACCAAAGCCTCAAATCACTAAAACTAGTGAAAATAAAGATGCATTAAAAATTTAACTCTATCATACAATTGGTAAAAGGCAAAGCTGGTAAAATTATTTATTTATTTACTCGTGTAAATATATGCATCATAGATACATATGACTAGCCAAGTCTAATATATGCATGTACATATGAAATCTATGCAATATAATAAACCTAGTTCTCCATAATCAGGGCAAAAAAGAAGTAAAACAGATGTTTCGTTATGACGTGACCACCCAACTCAACAAAATATCAGAGAGAGAGGGAGAGAGAGAGCAATTCAACTACGCCTTATGTTTTAGCTCTGTTGTAGTGCATGAAGTGCCCTTCAACTCTTCCTGTTTAATAATAGCCCTGTTGCAACCGTCAGTTGTGATGCCTTCTCTGTCGCAATTCCTGGCTACATTCTCCTTCCTCGCAATCTTACCATCTGACGGAACTTGTTGGCTCATATCACCAGGGGAGCAATTACCATAGAGATTAAGACTATTGGTCAAGCTGGGTTTCTTCCACTCACCAAAATCAGGGCCTGCTGATGACTTACCACCAGAAATAGCAGTTGCAAGGGCAATAGGCATAAGACATAGGCCTTTGCTCTGAAGATACTGCATGGCCATGGTCACATTGGTTTCCATCAGCTTCACCACTTCTTGCTCAAAGGCAATATTGTCTGGAGACTCCAAAAAATCATTTGTGTGACCAGTTGATGGTGATAGAAGCAGGCCACCAGAACCCTGATGAAAGAGCATTAACTGAAATGAAGAAATCACCCTAGCAACAAAGTTGAATAGGAAACATTATAAATGTTATTATTCAAACTTTCACAGGCGCTGTATCAGTTTTTTTCTTGTTTTCATCTATAAATTTTATACATTAAAAAAATGTATACGGACAATAACTTGACTCTATTCTTATACAGTATTTACAATGTATATAATATGGATAACAGGATATGCAAAGAAAACGCTGGCTGGTTTTCTTTCTCTAAAAGATGATGCATGCACCTCAAGAACCATTTAGATAGAAAATAAAACAACCTGGTCAGATAAAAAAGCAAGAAGTATTAATCATATTTCATATTCAAAGAGAAGGAAAGAAAGCAATAAATACATGCTCAAAATTCATATATCATTTTGATAATCTGTAAGCATACCGTCTTCATGTATCTATACTAGCAGGGAGGAAGTCTGTTACATGTGACTTCCACAAGAGACTTAAAAACATGTGAGAGATTACGCAGAAGTGAGGTTTTTGCTTGGGCAAAGAAGATTTTCCACATCTATCAGACAAGTGGGTATCAAATTTATATAGTAAAAGATAGATTTATACACACAGGCATTCCATTAGAAGTCTACAACAAAATAGTAGGATATTTCCCTGAAGAACCAAAGTTGAAAAAGAATAAGAACAACCAACTAGAGGCAATTTTTAGTACATAACAGTGGCTAAGATTATGATAAACTTAAATTTCAAGAAATGAATATAGAAGTAATACCTCAGCTTGACCTTCTGTGATGAGGGGAACAACTGCCCCTGCAGCACCCAATCTACTCATGCTTAAAACCTGCAACTCATATCGAATAACTAAGCATCCAAGCTGATTGGAATAAAGCAGTTGTCTAAAATATGTAGGTTTTACTCAGACTTGAACAATTTAGCTCAGATTCTAACTAGCATATCCAATGTTTCTAGGCAATATTTGGGGGACAAAGTTCCCTTGGTAGGTGTCGAGAAACCTCCACTAATTGTGAAAATTTGATAAACCTCCCCTATGTTTCTTAAACATCACAATTTCTCCTGACATTTTCAAGATAACATTAGTTACCTGCCCTATCTTAGAAATTCAGTGCTTTTAATTCACCAGAAAATCTAATGTAAAAGAATGTCCACTCTAAAGACAATCTTGCCTGAAAAATACTTTTTAAATATAACATGTTGATTCAACACCTCAACTGCCATATTTTAAGTATTAAGACAGAGCAGACTAGTGACTCAAAACATCAAAACATCAAGGGACTGCAATGATATTTTATCTGAGAAGAGGTTTATTGAAGTTTTCACAAACCTTGGCTAAGCTTTAATATACATGAGCAAGATCAACAAAAAATATAACTATGATTTAATAAGAAGTGAAAAGTTTTAAAACTCAAAATGGATGTATTTAGCCTGACTATGGCAGATGTCACCATCATCATCAACCACAGAACTATCATCTCTTTGATTCTTTCCCAGTTGGTAAGAGGGAAAATTGGATTGAAGTATAAGAGAAATATGGAAGAAAGGTGACTTTTGATGATGATCCATACATCCCCCCTCCCCAAGAAAAGGTGCTGAAACTCATAAGGATTAAAGCTTCAAACATGGATTAAACTTGAAGTTCCATACCTTGACTTGAAGCTGGAGAAATTTGACATACTCAATGATTTCATCAAGCATCGATGCCTTATCCATCTGCACAAATGAGGATGAAAAATTAGCCTCTTATTGCACTTTGTTTCAAAACAGCACGCCCTTTCTTTCTCCTACAATAAATTTTGGTTGAAAGTTCAAGCTTCAAAAAAACTCACAGAATATCAGATAAACATCAAACCAAAAAGTTCATAAGCATCATCCTACAGACAGATAGTTATTAAAGCATCAAACATCAACAGATGCTAGGTAAGGGTTAGTGAGAGTGACGCTTGAAGCCAGACACAACCGGGAAATCAATCTTAACATTCTCAAGGATGATTTTGCAAGTTAATAACCATACAGCCTGACTAAAATAAGTTGGATGGTCAATTCCATTTCAATATACAAAATATTATTTATCTCCTAGGAAACAGCCTCTCTGTATGTGCAGGGGTAAGGCGGTGTAAATCTGTCCCTCCCCAGACCCCATATTGGCGGGAGACTTGTTCACTGGACTGCCCTTTAGTCCCATCAGGTGGAACTGACCAAGAAAGATCAATGCAAATGCAATATTGATGAGCAGTAGTTAATTTGCACTTAGCTGCTCATGCATACACAAAGGTAGTTAAACCCTGATTGATGATATTATTGGACCCAGACTCTTTCCTGTTAATACGGATGTTAGTTTTGTAGGATTCAGTCGTGACAGAAACTAGAATAAACTTTGATTTGAGAATTCATCGGTCTCAGGCTAGACGAATCTGAATTGGACAAACCAAATATGATTCAAAAATACCATGTCTGCCAAAATAGGCCATCATAGAGCAACTTCTCATCCAAGACAGAGAATATCAGTTAGCAGAGTGCAGGGACCATGGGAAAAATAACAAAAATAAAATGGAATCAGCACCTCAATAAATTGATTCAATTCCAGTAGTGCCTGAGAAGAGACCACTGGAAACATCACCTGTCTTTTTCCATGGATACAAGTATTGATGAGTGCTAGTCAATATGAGCCTCAACATATATAGGGCCCAAGTACAGAACTGGGGAAAAAATTTAATGTTTTTTCTGATATATGGATTTAAGTGGCATTCGTCTCATGGATCAGTTTTATTGTGGTTGTGATTCGAAAATGTGGAACCACATTTCTGAAACAGAAAACATGAGGTTTTGAACCACAAAACACATATGAGAGTGTTCTACAAACTTGTTATTTTCTGTCCTTGAACCAAAAACCCAATAAAGGTGTTATTGAAATGGTTGTTTCACTTTTCTAAACCACATGGTCAAACATCCATGCACAAATGGTTCCAATTCAATGTGCGAATTGGAAAGAAATGGTACAAATGGAAAGAAAGCATAATGGAGAATGATGACATCATGTTTAGCTAGTGGAAATTGTTGCCTGGTTGAGAACACTAGGATTTATAGTGTTCACAAAATGGGGGTGTTTGGTATTCTAGGGCTACTGGATTTATGATCACATTACCACAAACTGAGCCTCACGATTGTAAAGGCATTTCATAGCTCAAAACTACTTAAACACAAAAATGAACCTAGCAGAAACTCCCTTAATAGTGTCTATAAAACAAAAATATAATGTTGTTTTATCATTTTGTGTTCTGTAATCCCGTTAAGCTTAAGGATCTTGTGGAAGCATTTCTCTAGAATATTTTAACTTGATACAAGTTCAGGGTGTCTTAATTGTTGAATGAATGAATGGATAATAATGATAATCATAACAACAACAAAAATAACCAATATATGGGAGTACCTTATTGGAATTTGGAACAAGTTCTTGCAAATTCTTCATTCTTTCAGCAATTTTCTCCCTGCGAAGCTGCATTTATATATTATTGAAGAATTTCAAGATCTTAAGGATGGAAAAAATATAATCATCTTTACCTAGAACTTCTACTTAACAAAATAGAAGAACCTTACAACAAAGTAGGCCTTTAATACTAACCCGCTCAGCAATGCTGTGTGGATCCGTGGCCTGACCCCGTCGTGCTCTTACTCGAGGCTTTACAGAACCATTACAACCGCCAGCAGTTGTAGCCGGTGTAGACTGTAACTGACAAACAGGAGACTGGTTCATGTAATGCTTGACAGAATTTCCTTCACTAAACTGTGATAGCCAGATGTGAACTTACATCAGAGAACATTGAGTTATTGACAATAAACATAAAATCTGCAGATAAAGACTTCAAAAAAAAAGGTTTAAAAGGAAACTCAAATATATAGTGCACCTGCAGCTCAGACTGTAACCCTGTTGTTCTTGTCAATGTTATAGGGGGCCCAGCAACAGGGAGCAAACAGTTATTGTGCAGATCATCTTGCATCTGGAACATATAGCAAGTACAACATAAGTAAAGTCAAATGGATGTTGGAAACCAAGCCAACCCAAGTGAACTTTATCAAGCAAGAACAGTAAGATGTAATCTCCAACAGTATGGAGGAAATATAGATCTGGATGGTGTCATCAAGTGAATTGTGGATCTTTGTCCATCCCACAATTTACTGGATGAACCTTGAACATAGACATTCTCAAATGTCTTATGCAAATATTAAGAAAATTAGAAGAAGGTTCAAATCATCATGTTTCTGCACATATTCAATTAAAGCCCAAAACTGGATGATCACAATCAAGAACAAATAAACTAAATTGTGCAGGAGGAAATGCAGATGCAAACCAATGCTGAGTCAGAGTATATTTCCTCAATTAATGCGCAGAAGTTAATTGTAAAAATTATATAAAATTTGTACATTGATGGAGACTGTTGAAGGAAAGTTGTCCAGTTGCAATATTTTCTCATCCCTGACATATCTGCTCTGCAAAACGTTACTATTGCTATCCACATATTCACCATGCAAATCATAGCCTTGCAATTTATCCTGGACTATAGAAGAAGCAAGGGAAGAAGCAATTCCATAAGATAATGAAGGCCACAACTGTGGTACTGAATTAAAAGAATGAGTATCTCCAAGAGACAGTTGACACCCAGATGGTTCATTGCCATTGCTCCCAACAGAACTAGCATCCGGCACTGCACAAGGTGACTTGGGTAAACCCTCAATCACAGGAAGCAACTTTGGAGAAGTAAGATTTGGGTCACCTTGGGATGATTCAGTTGTATTCAGTTGCAGACCCAAATATCCAGCTCTCAAACCACCATTCACCATTCCTTTCAAAGAATGCTTTTTTTCATGGTCTAATCCTTCTTGTTGCGGTTGAGCCTCATTGGGAATTAAACTTTTGTCAAGACCATAATTTGAGCCCCTACCAACGACAATAGAAGTGTTTTGAGTGGCTAAGCTCTCCATAATCTCAGTTGAAGGAATCAAGTTTACATTTGAATTTTTTTCATTCCCTTCATATTCCCCCATTAAATCAGGAAGGAGCCCATTTGTTTGAGCAGGCCCACTGCAAACCCAGGATGATCTTTCAGTGCCATTTGCATCTGACCATGATGAGGATGAGAAGACATGGTCAAGAAATTCATCCATTTGCAAACCCAGGATGATGTTTCTGTGAGGTAGGGACTCCGCCTATCTGACAACACAGTCCTTCAAAAACACTTCTCAGAATCTACATCCAACGTTGGCATCTGAGATGATTCTGTAATTTATCAATCCATCCATCAATAATGAGCAATTTATCAAAGGTGTTAGTGGGAACGAAACAGAGTTACTTCCCACATATTTTCTTGGCTCCTACCTGAAGGGACAAAAGTTAGAGATGCATTAAATTCTAATAAAAAGTTAGTAAAGAAATTTCATGGGAAAATGTCAGATGTAAAAACACTAGTTTTCAGAACACCAAAAACAAGAGAACTGACCATAAAAGGTGAGCAAAGAAATATTTGTTCTTCCAGATTTATCAAAAAAAAAAAGTTCTCCCAGGAACACAACAAAAATTTCAACAATCAAATAATCAGCATGTAACCTAACAGCTATACAATGGACGTCTATAACCATTTAATAGGAAATGGTTACAGAATAGGTGGCTCAACAGGAGAAATTTCCTCCTCCACAAGTTCCTCTGAAGGTAAAGGCATCATGCTATCAGCAGAGCAATGTTCTTGTCCATGCTAAAATGTGTTGTGGCAAACGGTCATATAAAGGAAATGAGATATTATTTTGGCCCCTGCATAAAATTAAGCACCCAACCAGAAGACTTGTGATTAATTCTTGTCTTCCAGATATAGAGAGAACCGAACAAATGGATCTATGACTACACAGTACAGGAGCCACTTAATATGGCTATTCTAAAACAAAGATATAGTGAAATATAAACTCAGCTGTATAAATAAATGGATAACTTTATAGATAATGTAAATACAATCAGAAAATAGATGCTCTTCATCATCAAGAAGGATCCCATTTTCCCCTGGCTTTCCTAATTGATTTATCTAATATCATATTCCTCATCTGAAACTCTGAAAGGCATGGTTATCATATATTTATATAGTAGGTAGTTCCAAGAGACAGCACCTAAATCCATACATCAGAGTAATCTTTTTGACTCTTTTCTAAATATAAAAAGCATTGTCTCCAAATAGTATGCAATTATCACCTCCTATGTATGGTGGACTGGTTGGATTTAAACATGCCTCAGTCAGCTCACAGATGTATGGATCGGTAAGTAGCATTCACAGGAAACTTGAACAAACAAACTGATGTCTACTCAAGCTTCTCTCTTACGATGCAGGACAAAAAAAAATATGGCACTTAGGGCATGTTCTGTACTGTGGTCTCAACCAGGTGAGGTATGTTCTAGACTACTAGGCCCCACAGTAGTGTGTTTGAAATTATGCATTTTGGAACTCATCACATCCTTAGTGGTTTTATGTACTGTGGAAGTGTGGTGTGATCCGAATTATTGGGATTTGAAATGGATTGATTCATAGGTGAAATGTACTGAATAAAGTCTGTGTTCTGTAACATGAGAAAAAAAAAACGTGTTCAAAAATTGACAATATTTTGTGTTCCAGAACCATGAATTGTTGGTTACAGAACATGTCACGCTCTAAAAGAACATGGGTTCAGTGTGGTACCTTCCAGAACTAGTTGGAAGTTGGAATATGAATCCACCACAGTACCGAATAGCCCCTAAGTAAAGAACTTGTCTAAGCTGTTACAAAATAAGTTTTGGAGCAGATTACATGAAAATTTTGCCGAGGACACGTCGGATGGTCACATTTTATTCCAATGGATAGACTGATTATGTGCCATGACAACTACATAGCCCCTTGACGTTATTATCTATTTAGGATCTTATGAGAAGATACTACAAATGGAGGAAAATACACTTGGTAGACCAAGAAAGAGATATAAAGCAAATAGGTAGACCTGACTATGAAGAAACAATGGTGTGCAGAGTGCTGGAGATTCACAAAAACTATTCGTGAATATTGAAGTATCACCGGATGCACACATGAATTCTGAAGACGAGTTCCAATAAAAGATAAGTTATAACTTTCTGAATTAGACGTGAGCAGCATTCTTTTTTATGCTCTAAAAGTTCAAAATAAACAAATAATTTTAGTTATTGTGTCCAATTATTCTTCCAAATGTCAAACAAATTCCAGTAGAGTCTTCATGACCTATTTGTCAAAAACATGATTGGGATAAGATAACAAAGTGATTGTGATTTAAGGCAGCATCAAATCACTGAAGACTGTCACTTGGGAAATATAAGGGATGCATGGAGTCGAAGTCAGTTTGACAATTAGAAATGGAAATTAGAAGAAGAAGATGATGATGATGAGAAAGCCACTTAATATTCCTGTAGCAGATATACATACCCACATCATTTTTTTCTTTGGGTTACTATCACCCACATAGAAATTCAATATTAGCATAACTGCATGCAATCATTACAACAAATTGGACCAGAAAAAAAGGACCTATCAAACCCTTTTATGGCCCTAATTATTTCAATCAGAAAAGAATCGTTTCATAACAATAAAATAGGAAGGTGCCACATGCCCAGAAGAGAATAAATCGTCATAGCATAAATGAGTTAAGTTATCAGCTAATTTTCGATACGTATAGGAAAAAACAAAAAGATGCTCTTCCAACAATAATGTTTGTCATGCAAATGCTAATATACACATAACATACGAAGGGAAAATAAGAAATAAAAAAGAAAAAATAGTAAGGAAAAGAACCATAAACCTGAGAGAGGCATTTCCAAAGGACCCAATGAACGACATGCAATTTAACTGAACATTTACGCTAAAACTACTGAAAATGGAGTAAATCTCCCATGGAGAGTGAATGGAAGGAACTCACAGTTACAAGCAAGAGAGTAACAAGGTCCTGAGCATCCGAAAAAGTAGAGAAGAACCGAAGAAGACGAAGAAGAAGAAGGAACGTGAAAAAGAAGTTTGCCTTTTTGACGAAAAACCGCTTTTTTTTCTAAGAGCTGAAGTGTCGTCCTCTGATTTGTCATCATAATCAGGCAGGTCCTCGTTCCTCCGTTTGATTAGTAACCAAATTTTATTATTTGATTATTATATAAAAAATGGTTTTGGATTTTTTTCTTATTTTATTATTAAGAAAAAATATTTATGAAGGAAAGTCATCACATTCACATACATGGGATGGAAACATATCTTGAGAGTTGAGTTTCGTTAGTGCCTAGCAGGACGCTGGGGAGCTTAGGCATTATGGTCATTTTAATTTTGATAAATGGCATTATTGTCATTAGGATACGGAGATTTTTTACGCATCCGCATAATGCGGAGCGGTTTTCGTTCTGGTCCCACGCATCCTCCTCAGTAACATTGGATGAGAGATCAGAGGTGAATAAGTTCCTTCTCTGACCTTCAATTGTGATATATCATAGCACGCACTTGAGGGCCCATCACCAAATCAAGGGTAGAGATCGTAATAGAGGTAGAGGTGTCGATAACTCATTACTAGTTTACTACTGATACTGACGAGAGGCATCATTTGTTTGATTTTTGGTACTATGACGAAAATAGCCCTATAATTATTCAAATTGGAGGGAGCTGGGCTTTTACGCTGATATCGCGGGAAGGTTTCTTTATGTTTTCCCTGATAATGCGCACTGAATTAAATGATATGCCCATGATTCCGGATGTTGGGAACCTCAGATTGTGACACGTAACCATATTCCCTAATTTTAAGGTCACGTGTATTATTAGGTGCCCTATTTGAGAAGGCTTCTTTTGGTTCTGGCTACGATAAGTGACCCCACACGGACAAATTTTGCTGTGCAACACGGAATACGCAAATTTGGCTTTCTTCAAAAGTGAAAGCAGCTCAGGCAAACTGAAAGCCCTCTCAAACGACATCTAAGTGTCCATTTGGGAGGGCTTAAGCGCAAACTGGTTCTGGCGTTTAAGTAGGGGTGGATTCGAGCCAAGTTAAGTTAAATAGTATCAGGTTCGAGCTCGACTCGAGACTATTCTATAAGGTTCAAGTTCGAGCTTGGTTCAAGTCAGAATTTTGAGCTCGAGCTAAGCTCAAGTTCAGCTCGGCTCAGCTAGTTTTATATTTTATAAATATTTTATTATAAAATATTTAGAAAAAATATTTTATAAAATTAAAAGTTATAATAATTAATAATGATACTATTTTTTATATATATTATTAAATATCATATATATATATATATATATTCAAGCCGGCTCACGAGCTGAATTCGAGCAACTCGTGAAAAAACTCGGCTCATTGCCACCCCTACTTTCAAGGTGAGCCCTACATTGATAGTGTTTTATGTCCGGTGAAAAATCTGGAGAGCTCCAAATCAGCTTTTGGCCAATCATCTTTTGGACCCTATGCTTCAGTCTCTTTACATAATTTATCTAGAGTGACTCAAAAGCTGTTGAATCAATTTAGCTTTTTCAAAATAGCTTAGTGAAAGCAATTAAATCAAAGCTTCACCTTTCTAATTTTGAATTACCGTTTAATAAATAATTAACATTTATGCTTTTAATTCTATTAAAGTATTATTCTTATAGTTAATTATAATTAACATAGAGAGAGAAAGAGAAGGGATGAAATTTTCATGGGAATTTTTGAATACCTAATCCATCCCAACCCCCAGACAAGGGTTGGGACTTTGACATTAGGATATATGATACCTGAATGCAGTTATATTTAATGTAGGTACCCCACTCCTAATACTGGATTATAAATCCATATTTGTATTATTAAATATATCTCATAAGAAATAATATACATGATAAAAACGGAACCAGATCTGCTCCTCACACGAGGGAGCCTCACATGTACATCCAACGTGCATTAGAAACATCTCCCTGTGAATAATTCAATGCATAATATGATGTGTACGAGAGGCACGAGTGAGGCGCCCTGTGTGAGGATCAGATCCAGTCTCGGTAAGAACATGTACTGGCGAGGCGAGTCTAGTCGGTGGTCAGCTATGGACCTCATCTTTATTGAGTAAAGATCTAAATTGTAACCGTGTTTCTACTCATTGATTTCAGCCTCAACTCCTAGGGCTCTTTAAGAAACAAATCATTCAAGGTTTTGTCTCATACGCTTTTTCTCGTTGTACAACAATAAAACCATGTCTGTCAACATTAAACAATACGCAAACACCACAAAAATCTCAGTCCCAGCCTACTAGGTGTGTTCTGGGCTGGACCTGATGGTCTCATTTATTATCTTGGCCTCCAGGTTGGGCCGGATGATTTCAGCTGGACAGTGGACATACCAAATTTGACCCATTTTTTGGTTGTGGGGGTTTTGAACCCAGCTATTTTTAGTTTCATACACACATTAATCCATTAATCCAATTGTACTTGAATTAAAAAAAATACCAACTCTATGATAGACATAAATTTTGCATTAATGTGATATTGTTGCATTGAAGATGATGAAATTTCAAAGATTCATTTTAGACGTATGCACAAATACAAAGGGCCAAACCTCGTTAAATCTTTATATTATTCTCTCATATTGTGTTTTTCTGTCATGTTTTATTAATCAGTTGTTTTTATTTTCTAGAAAAGAGGAAGAAAAATTTATTTTACAAACAGCTCTAATTAAAAGAAGTGATTTATTACAAGTGAAAGAGATTAGAAAAACTAGAGGTAGATAAAAAAGAACATGACAGAAGTAATAAGAAATTATTTAAATACTAAGGCTCAGTATAAAATATAAATTTTTGCATTCTATATATTTGTATTTGTACTCGTTCCAAATGAGCCTAATAATTTAATAGTGGATATAATTTTAAAATAAAAAAAAATTACAAAACAAGATTCATGTAATCAACACCATATAATTGGGATAAGATATGGATGGTAATGATTGATGAGGAAGAAAGATTCATTACCTACCTTGGTTTTTGTTTTTTTTTTGTTTTTTTCTTTTCAATATGCATGTATTATATGCTACCGCATGAACCAACACATTACATATTTTCGTTGAATATACATAAATTTACAAATTAACTTTAAAAGATTGTGAGCTGCTTAATTTTAGTAAAAATTGTTATATCCATTTAACTGGTATAATCATCTACTTTATTTAGGTTGCATTTGGCATTCCTTATTTTAAGGATTTTTCACCTTTTTATTGTTAAAAATTCAATATTTATAAAGGCATAAAAAGGAGATTTGTTCTTATTAATGCCAAATGCATCCTTAACTTACCATGAAAGCTGCAGTGCACATTTTTTAAAGGAAAATACCAATGTTTTAGTATTTGGTTGCTTGAAAATTCCAAGGGAAGCAACATATAATTCAAAACTAGAATGAGAAAAGGATAATAATGGCATGGGGCATTTTCAAAGATAAATCGTTTTACCTTTTACTTACACCAGATGTTGGATGAAAATGTGTGTTTTAGATTCAAATGTGCATATCCTATGGAATTATTGCCCCCTTAAATTGCTCACATTATGTCCTCTTGACTAAACCTAAAATCTAGGATTTCAACCTATCATACTATTTTTCCAAGTTTTCTTTAAAGTTGCAATCGAATATTAGGGCGGTAAAATGTTGATAAAGGTTGAAATTTCCATTGAGTTCTTGTCATAGGGGCAAAATTTTATTTTCCAATTATGTCCATCACATCACATGGAATGTCCAGGTTTACAGGTCCTGCATCCTTTTTTTTTTTTCTCTTTTATATTCAAATCAAAGTTCATTGAAATTTTCATGGAAATGACATTTCCAATTTGAAATTCCCCCCACCTTCCTCTGCCCACACCACCTTGTCAGCTCGTCTCTTCTCTCTCACTATCGCCATGGCCCATGGGCCTTGTAAAAGAAGGGAATGCAATACATGGAAGGGGAGGGTAATTGGGCTACACAACGGGGGATAGCCCATCTCCATACCCATAAACCCCAGGCCCCAACCCCTTGCTGCCAGCGGGAATTCCCTCCTTTATTTTCTAGGGAAAAAAACTTAAACTTCCCTTGACATTTATGTTAAATAAATATTAAAGATCTTCCCTCTCTTTTCAAAATGGAATAAGAGTATAAGACCTCCCCTAGTCCATTCTAAGAGTGTGACTGTGTGAGATGCTTTAGCCGTTAAGAAACTAAGCAAAGACCTTCTGTCCTCTGGTATTCATTTTTTTGTGTATTAAGAGAAGTCGTCAAAAGTTGGGGGTTCATACATGTATATATATATATATATATATATATATATATATATAAGACTTACACATAAGAAATAGACATACTTACAACCCAAAAACCTAAATTATTGAGGATTTGGGTTATTCTTGTATATAAGGTGATGTTTGGCAACGTTTATTGATTCTTCCTTACCGATTTGAAATCAGTGTTTTTTCAAAAATCAGTAAATTTGTTATTTGGCATCAGTTCTGCCATGTAAACCGATTTTTGAGAAATTGGCTTTGAATTTATTTGGTATTGATTCTCGATGGCCGATTATTTTTGTATTAGAGTTACTATTCAGCAAGGTTCAAAATATCGATACACCCGATACGCCGGTAGAGGCATATCGGGCGTTTCGGTACTTGTTTTTTTTTACTTTTTTTTAATATTTTTTCAAAACTGGTTCAGGGGAGCCGGTCTAGGACCCTTTCATCTCCTGAACCGGTCAGACCCCCGATACACCCACTGTAGGGGCATATCGAAAGGGTCCCAGAACGATACGTATCAACCAATACGTAACGATACTTGAACCTTGCTATTCAGTGCCATATCATTCTTAAAAAAAAAAAAAATCGGAATCAGCTAGAAATAAGGAAATGATCACCAAAAATGGTGATGCCTAAAAAAAAGCTGATTTCAAGAATCAATTTTTGGCCGATTTCCTGAAAATCACCAAACAGCCAACCAAATAGAAATTTTAACATTGATTCCTCTAATGCTGATGTAACTCCAACATGACAGTATTTTCAAAAAATCTTCATCCATATCAAACATCACCTAAGTCCCTTGCACTGCTTATTCCTTTCCAAAC